TATATTTTTCAAATTCTATTTTAAAATATATTCCCCATGATCCTGGTAATTTATTATAATACATATCTTGGTATACTTCTTGATTTTCATTACTATAAAATTGAGTATAATAGTAATCTTTGAATTCACAAGTATATTCTTTAATTTTACACATATCACAAATTGTTAGATTAATTAACTTAACTCTTGCATTGTCTTTTTCTCGTATTGCTTCTTCTTCATAATTTCTTAACCAATTTTCTCCTAAGAATTCATCTGCAATATATTCTACCAATCTTTCTATTCCTAGTTTATCTGATTTTATTATTTCTGTTTGTACATTTCTTTTTATTAATGATTTTGTATCACTACTAATTCCTTCCCACCAATTTCTAACATTTCCTTCAAAAGATGCAATTAAAAAATCTATTCACCTTTCGGTATTTTTCCATGTATCATCTTTATTATATAAAAAGAATAATATCATTGAGTCTGCCCAAGTTATTAAGGCTTTCTTAGTATCTATTTTGCAATCTAAGTCTAATTTTGTTCCTCCATGGTTAACAGGTTTATCATAATTATTATTTAATTCAAATCTATTACTATATTTATTTCCTTTGGACGGTTGTTTATCTCTTATTTTATCATAAAATTGCCTATATGGTTTATTATACATTGGAGCATAGCTTTCATCTGGATCTATTGATTCTTGTTTAGAGGTTCCTACAGGATTAGGTCCTCCTCCAGTATTCATTAAGATTTGGTATTCATCATCTATACTTTCTAGACTTAAATGATCAAAATTATCTATAAGTAGATCTAATTCTTCATTCATCTTCTTTGTCCTGATTTTCTTCAATTTTTTGTTTACCTAATATTTTTTCTCTAGATTCTTCTTCTTCTATTATTTTAGGTAATATATTTTTTCTAAACTCATCATCCATACTTCCTGTTTCTATTATTATATTTTTCCTTTCAATATGTTTTTTTCCTATTCTGGTTATTTCTTTTTCTATAAATTTTTTATCTACTCTATTATTTTTTTCTTCATTTTCTTTTAATTTCCTGACTTCAAGTTTCAATATATTTATATCATTTCTATCTTCTTTTATTTCATTCTTAATTTCTTGTACATCATTTATTAATGTTCTTATTAGATGTTTTAATTCTTCCATATGTTCACTGATTGACATTTTATTTATTTTTTTGATTGACAATAATAAAATACTACACACTCAGCATTTTTACATTCTTTTATCATTTTATCATACTTTTGTTTTATAATTTCAATACTTGTCAGTTCTTTTAATTTTTCATAATATCTTGCTTTTTCTTTATATCTTTCTTGTTTTAATTTTAATATCTGTTTTTCTTGAGTTTTAGTTATTTCTCCAGGTATTAATAATTCATCTAAAATTTTATTATTTATTAATCTTATTCTTTCTAACTTTCTATCTAAAATATTTTTAGTTTTTTTTCCATTATATTTTATGATGATTCATATATTTCTTTATAATACAACTCATTTTCAAATATTTCACAAATTATTTCATATGTACGTCTATCTTTGATAAATCCTATAATTAATTTATGTAATATTTGTTCCTTTATTTCTCTAGGTAAATTCCTAGTTATATATAATGTTATTATTTTTAGTTTATTAGGGATAGGGTTGTAAAATATATAACATCCTTTTTCTTCAATACATTGATAATAATTATTTATTTTTAAGATTTCCATGATCTCTATGGCTCTGATACCAACTCTATGGGTGCTACTATGAGCGAACAAAAATCTAATAATCTAATAATCAAAATATCAAAAATTTTAATCTCATAAATTTTTAAGTAATTCTTCAAAGTCTAATAATGTTTGAGAATTTATAATATCAATATCTGTTATCATATCTATGTCTGTTCCAAAAGGTATTTCATATTTTGAGATACTTTTCTTTCTTTTTGCCAATTTATCTATTATATCTTGTATATCTTTTATGATTATTGACCTTACAATTCCTTTAGCGAAATTTTCTAATAAGTTTTCTTTAAAACATTTTAATATTTCTTGTGATGCATATAATTGTTCTTGATATCCTATCTTATCAATTTCTTTTTCAAATTTAATTTCTTTTTTATTTTTAACAACCTTTTTTATATTATATGGTCCTCTCTTATATTTGGGCTTTTCCATTTTATAATTATTCATTAATAATTTTTACAAATTTTTAGAAAAATTATTTGTTAGATTTTTTAAGGATTAAAAAGAAACTTTTTATTATATAAAGGGTTGGTTGTTAAATTTTTTCAAGGATATTTTGGGTAGTTTCAAATTTCTAAAAAGTCAAAGGTCATTTTGGAAAAGGTTATATACTATTTGGGTCATTTTCATGTATATCCCACTTCATTTTCAGATGATTCTGACAATATCGTTAGTCAAAAGGGCATTAATTAATTTAAATGGGGAACATTTTTTCCCATTTTAAGTACCAAAATTGAGGAAAACTAAAGTAGCACACACTTTCTCAATTTAATACTCACCATAAAACCAACTTCTAGAAAAAGAGTGCATGTAGAATCTCGAAGTTCAATTATAAGGCAAACTTAAATTTACTAAACTCCTGTTTAGTACAAATTCAAGTCAAAATTAACCATTAATTTTATGAAGTTCACAATTTTCAATCACATATTTATTAAGTTTCTATCAAAATCTACGATAAATTTGATTTTAATCCTCATCAAATAGGAACTAACATAGAGCTGTTAAAATGCCATAAAATATTGAGCTCAAGAAACTCATAATTCTGTTAATTAACATAAGAAAGCTGGACAAATTCAGTAAATGAAAGCAGCATTTCTATATACGTTATATTATCATTTAATATGTTGGAGAAAACAATTTCTCCAACAAAGTGGACGTGCCGGAGTGGTTATCGGGCATGACTAGAAATCATGTGGGCTCTGCCCGCGCAGGTTCGAATCCTGCCGTTCACGCCTTTTATTTTAATTTCTTCTGGTAAATTTTATTCATGGTCATTGAAATTTTAAATTTTAATTGTATTGTATTGCTAAATTAAATTATCTCAATTCATTCATATAACTTCTGTTTCCATTTCTTCTGGCAAATTTTATTTATGGTCATCGAACGCGTTTAATGAAATTTTAATTGTATTGCTAAGTTTTAATATCTCAATTCATTCATTTAACCTCGATTTACTATCGAATTTTATGACTTATCGTCTTTCAAGTAAATAGAAATTATTATACATAATTATACGATAACTAATCTTTGACATAACCATTACTAGGTACCCTAAAAATGAAAATAGTAAAATGAAGGATATGAGAATATCTATGGAGGGAAAAAAAAAAAAAAATTTAACATGCATTTTAACAAATTTATTAAATGACATAGTAGTAGGTTAACATGTTCATAGTAATCATGTAAATCTTGGTTGCGATATGGTGGCCATTTAAGCAAATTTCAATCATTTGGGATATGATAAGTAACATAGCGACGGCAATTAAAACTAAAAATGAAAGTTTAGTAACCTAGTTCAATCAAATTAAACTTTAGCATTAAAAACTTATCCCTTATAATCATACGGAAGTAGAAAGGAAAGAAATCCAAATCCAAAACCTTTTCCTCAAATGGATGGAGAAACTATATTATGTTCATATTTGATGGAGATTAAAATCAGTTCTTTATTAAATTTTAATAAAAAGTGATGAAAAGTACGAATAAAAAGCAGTGGATTACATGAAATATATATTTAAAATTAATTGTTTAATTTTTTTAACCTACAAAACATGGCCATATTTCAAATACCATTTGAACACAAAAAATTACACCTCAAAATCTGATTGGAACGAGATTTCGAACCCTTTTGTCCTTCCTCGAGAAATCAATGCGCATAAGTTGCAAACAACAATCGCTCCTCGTAAACATCCTCAAACAAAAATGCAAAACCATAACACAAATCCAACAAGTCCATGCCCAAGCCATTTCAAGAGGCCTCCTTTCGCTCCACCCCACTCCCCTCTTCACTCAAATCCTCCATTCATGCACTTCTTTACAAATTTCATCCATTCAATACATCTCAAAAGTTTTCAATCTCATTCCCAATCCTTCAACTTTCCATTACAATATCATGATCCGGGCATGTTCTATACTCTTTACCCCACACACTGGCTTGATGTTTTTCATCAAAATGCGCCAAGAATCAATCCCACTTGATTTTCATACTTACCCTTTTGTTATAAAAGCTTGTGGTTGTTTGCAGAATGGGCTTTCACTTGCCAAAACCATTCATTCTGAAGTAGTTAAATTTGGATTCTCGGATGATGTTTTTGTATGCAATTCACTTGCTTGTATATACTGTAAAAATGGGGAAATTGAGCTTGCATACAAACTGTTTGATGAAAGTTTGTATAGAGATGTGGTTACTTACAATGTGATGATTGATGGGCTCGTTAAGGTTGGCGCGCTTGATAAAGCCCGTGATCTGTTTGATGAAATGTCTGAAAGAGATGCTGTTTCTTGGGGTACCCTTATGGCGGGGTACACGAAAATGAATCGGTGCAAGGAAGTTGTTGAGCTATTTGATCATATGATTGCTTCCAAGGTGAAGTTTGATAATGTTGCTTTGGTTTCGATGCTCTCAGCTTGTGCACAGCTAGGGGAGATTGAAAAGGGGAAGATGGTACATGAATATATATTGAAGAATGGGATAAGAATAGATTCATATTTGGGGACTGGCTTGGTGGATATGCATGCAAAATGTGGATGCATTGAGATTGCTATGGAGGTTTTTGAGTCTTGTGGAAAAAAGAATGTGCCTTTATGGAATGCGTTGCTTGTTGGATTGGCCATGCATGGCCGAGGAAATTTGTTACTTCAGTACTTCTTAAGAATGGTGGAAGATGGTGTACAACCTGATGGAGTGACCATTTTAGGAGTGTTAGTTGGGTGCAGCCACTTGGGGCTTATCGACACGGCAAAGTGGATTTTCAGAGATATGGAGAGTGTTTTTGGTGTCCAACGAGAGCTGAAGCATTACGGGTGCATGGCAGATTTGCTTGGTCGTGCAGGTTTGATTGAAGAAGCCATGGAGATGATCGAAGCAATGCCCATGGTAGGCGATGTGTTTGTGTGGGGAGGTTTGCTTGGAGGATGTAAATTACACGGGAACGTTGAGGTTGCAGAAGCAGCTGCCAAACATGTGATCGAGGTGAAACCTGAAGATGGCGGAGTGTATTCGTCCATGGCTAATGTGTATGCAAATTCACAGCGATGGGACGACTTGGTGAAGGTAAGGAAATTGAAGGATTCCAGATTCGGAATCAAGAAGAATGCAGGGTGTAGTTGTATTCAACTAAACGGGGTAAACCATGAGTTTGTATCAGGAGATTGTTTGCATCCTCACACTGATGCTATATATACAGTTTTGAATAAATTGGAACACCACCAAATCTAAAGCATTTTAACCATTGACTTAGCACATCTTCAAATTTTTTACTTCAAATTTCCTATATTCTTTGAGGTTGTTTTTGGGACACCAAATTAGATCAAAGAATTTAGTATAAAAATAGTTAAAATTACACAATACCATACTTTAAGTATTCAACATTCATATGGGAACTTTAATATTTTAAAAATCAGAAATTTTTTTATACTAATTATTTAATTTATGAACTAACCCTAACCCCCTTCCACCCCCACATAATTTCCCCCAAACCCATTCCCTCTCTACATCTTGTCGCTCTGGTCTCTCTCGCCTGTGAAGAATGGGCGGAGTTGGCGTCACACCTGTGTTGGCGTCGCACTTCTACTGTGGTTCCGGGAAGATGCTGGTGTTGGTGACATAGCTATGGTGGTGTGGGCGGCGCTGTTAGGTTCTATGAAGACACCGATTTTGTGGTGGTGATGGTGTTTGTGTGGTGAAGGTGTTGTGGTAGTGTTTGTGTGGTAACAGTGCCGTGGTGGTGGTGGTTTTTGTGTGTTAACGGTGCTGTGGGTGGCACTCTGGCGGTGGTGGTGTTTGTGTGGTGACGGTGCAATGGGCGGCATGTGGTGGTGATAGTGTTTGTGTGGTGGATCTGGCGGTTTTCGTGGGGTTTTGTGGAGGTAACTGTGAATCTACGATGGTAGTGATGGTTTTGTGTGGTGGTGGTTTTGTGGAGGTGACTTTGAATCTGAGATGGTGGTGTGTTGTGGTGTTGATAGGTTGTCATGAGGTGGTGGTGGGTCTGTTGGCGGCTGTGCTCCGTTGTGGTGGTGGCAATAATGGTGATGGTGATGATTGTGGCGGTGATCGTTGGTGGAAAGAAATGGGGTTGTGACCAATTAATTTGAAAATCTGTGACATACAAATAAATCGTGACTTGATTTGTGATAAATGAAATTAACCGTGACCAATTAATTTGATAATTTGTAATGAATAAATGAGCTGTGACCAATAAAAGTTGATTCTGTAACCTAAACATTTTTTTATTCGTGACCCAAAAACAATATGTGACCTATGAAATTTTTTATTTGTGACCGAAAAATAAGTTGTGACCAATAAATTGATAAGTTGTGACTAAAAATTAATTTGTGACTAATTAATTTTTTGATTTGTGATCGATGAACAAATTGTGATCGATGAACAAATTTTTTGAATTGTAATCGTAAAATAATTTGTGACATAAAATTTTTGATTTGTGATCAAAAAATAATAAGTGACTAATTAAATCGTTAATTTGTGACAAAATTGTATAGATCTGTGAGCTAATTATATTTAATTAGTAAAGTAATTAATTAATTAATTAAATCATAAATAAATTTTAATAAAAATCTGATTTTTGAAGTTTGAAATTTGTTTTCTTAATTTTGAAATATGTCATACTTAATCTCTTACTTATGAAATTTTTCCATAAAAATATATCGAACAGTACTAGAGAGATGGTGATATTATTGATTAAGGTTAATATTTCTGATTTTTCATTTAAAACAATGTCATTTACCACAATCTTCTTATTCAGTCTAAATCCAACCTCTACGTTATATTATATGGTTGATAGTGCAAATGATTATATTTTAATTCACCATAATACTATCTACCTATTGCTCTACATTATAATTTTATACAAAATTCCTTATACACTGCGAAATGCCAAAGTCACCCCAAGGACAATATAATTGTATACAAAATTCCTTATGCAAGATTCTCGTTGAGGTTTGTTCTTTAGCTAACTTTGCCTTGCAAACATGGTTTTAATGTATTGGAGTCTATGTTAATGGTATTAGAGATTGCACTTAAAAGGTGCCTATGTCCGAGGCCTTTAATGCTGATATTTGGACGAGGTTTCCAATTTTCTTTTAGCTAACTAATGGAGGCTCTGCGTTCCCTCGATAAGGAAAGCCTCGGTGGTCAAGGCATCTTTTTGTTTCAACACGCTTTGAAGGTCGGAGTGTAAAAATTCATTTTGTGACACATGAGAATGTAATGGAACCTTTTCGGACTTACATGAAGCCCAGGTGAACTACAATTTTTACAGCACGTAATGGTCATCTTGCACAATCAAATAAAAAAATATGACAAATACAATGCACTTGAAAAGATTAGAGCGAAAATTGAGATGGAGTTGAATAATATTTTTTTGTTTTGATAACATTAATGTTAACATAGGCATTATCAAAAGCGTATAGACTTTATCTTCGCAACAAAATTCTCCCAGTACACCCATTAAAATATTGAAAATATTTTGTTAATTGTATGGAAAATTAATGACATTAAATTAAAGGGTACTTAGTACAAAACATTCTTACCTTTTAATTTTATTGTGCAAAACTTTCCTACCTTTCGTTGCGGAAAAGCTCATTTTCATTCAATTTTTCAATAAAAAATATAAAATAACAAATATACCCTCTTATTTACATAAAACAAATAAGAAAAGAAAAACTAAATGACAAATTGCAAATATACTCTCAAACTTTTTTAAAAATTGCAAATGAGTCTAAATAAATAATTAAAAGAGTAATTAGTACAAAATGTCTCTGCCTTTTAATATTATTGTGTAAAACGTCCCTTTTTTTCAATTTTTTAACATTTTCACGCTTATTCTCACATTTCATTGAAAGGGGAGGTCTTCCACCCGCTTTTAGAACTAACAAAGCACAACACATATTGGAATTCTTTGTATTCTATCTGATGGGTCACTGCGACTGATATCCATTTCATTTACTAACTAGTACTAATACATTACATGCACCACTTTCAAAAAACTATTTACCCCTAAATCTTTGGTATATTCAAATTACCAGCTAGAGAAATGCAGGGCAGCAGCTCTCCAACCCACTTGAGTCTTGGGTGAAAATCATCATTTTAATTCATTTTTTTAATAAAAAGTTATAAAATGACAAATATACCCTCATATTTAAATAAAAAAATAAAGAAAAGAAAAATGGAGAACAAATTACAATTATACTTTCAAAATTTTCAAAAAAGTAAATATAAACTTCAAATAAATAATTAAAAACAAAAATAAAAAAATCACATTCTTTTTTTGAATTATTTATTGAAATTTATTTGTATTCTTTTTTTTTAAAAAAATCTGGGAGTATAGTTGCAATTTATTCTTTATTTTTCTTTTATTTAAATAGGGGGTGTATTCATCATTTTACAGCTTTTAATTGAGAAATGATGATTTTCGCAATAGCCATGTTTGAGCCATATTTTTTCAAAAAAAATACATTCTAAAACAGTGATTTGACATCATTTCAATCACATATTTTCAATAAAATAATATTACATTCAAATGAAAAACTTTTCTTTATTTTTTAACCACATATTTTTTATCAATACACTATTCAAAAATGCATTTTAAGGAAAATAATGTGGCTCAAACAAGGGCTTAATGTGAAAATAAGGATAAAAATACCAAAAGAATGAAAGCTATGAACATTTTGCACAATAATATTGAATGGTGAGAACGTTTTGTGCTAATTACCCTTTCTAACAATTTATTTGCACTCATTTATAGTTTTTTAAAAAAAAATTAGAGTATAATTACATTTTACATTTTTTTATTGAGAAATTAGATGAAAATGACATTTTTTGCAATGAAATATGAAAATAAGCATAAAAATGCCAAAAATTAAAGATAAAGACGTTTTGCACAGTAACATTAAAAGGTAATAACGTTTTGTACAAATTACCCTTAAATTGAATGATTTTTATGCATGTTACAAAACTTATCAATGCAATGGGCTATCACACAAATATATATTTTTTTTATGATTTTTCGCATACCACGGATTGAAAATCAATTAAAACAATGCCATAAATTTCTAAATCACTTATAATTTATATCTTTCTAACCATATAAATTTATAGAATAGTTACGAAGCGTACCTCTACTAGTAGGTTTGTACCTCGATTAAAGATATGTTTATATACTAGTGCACAATTTCTACCATGGGTAGTGTCATGTTTCACTATTCGATAATGTCGGCATTTTTTAGAATTGGAACATCGCAAATTGACAAAAATCGTGCATGGAGTATTGGAGCTATTAGGGTTAGGCAAATCTCCCTAACCAAACCGACCGAACCAAACCCGACGGTTCTTGTCAAATTAAATACCCGAACGGATATCTGAATTGAGAACCGACGGGTACGGTTCGGTTCTCGGTTCTGGACCAAGAACCGAAAAATCGAATAAGAACCGAATCTTTTTTTTTTTTTTTATGTATTGAGTAAATCAAATTTTTTTAATTTTAATTTTTTCTAAACAAATTAACAAATTAACAATTTCTAAATCTAAATTTTTGGCCCAATAATTAGTTTCATTTCTAATTTTTTTAATTTTTGGCCTAATTACCCATTTTATTGTTTCATTTTTTAGCCAAACAAGATCAAATCCACTAAATAACCCTAAACATATACACTAAAGTGCATAACGTTGTCTCGACTTTCGCACTCACTCTCGCAGCCTCGCTAATATTCCAAAACCTATACAATCGTTGGCCGACACTGTGATCTCTGATCGAAACTGTGACCTCCGCTGATCGAAACTTTGATCGTAGCGATCATTTGAACAAGGTAGTTTACTAGTCTCTGACATTCCAAAATCATTGAATGTATCATTAGTTTTATTTATATAATACTGTTATAAATATTAAAAAATTTAATTATAGTACAGAATCGAACGGAATCGAACCGAACCGAACTGAACCGAATGGAATCGAACCCGAACGGTTCCATAATTATATATGGACCCGACGATTCCATTTACTAGATACCCAAAAAGTTTGGTTCGAGAACCGAACCGGACCGACCCACACCCACCCTTAGGAGCTATTGAAGAATTGGTTAACATCTTCATCGGGTTCATGAATTTAGTATCAAATTTTGCACAAAATTTAGGAATAGAAACTACAACTAATAAAAAATAATTAGTACAAGAAAAGTTGAAATTAAAGAAATATTTGAAAACAAAGGAACAATTGTATAATAATTGCAAAATTATGAATAAAGAAACGAGAGTGGTATATTAACGATATTGAAATGTGATTAAATAGGCTTACCACCCATCGTTTTGTGATTTTTCTTTTATGTATACTCAACAATTAACACGGCATATGTGGATTTTTTATATGATAGGTTGAGTGTTGAGTGTTAAGTGTTAGAATTCACGAGTTGATCAGAAATATTCCCTTAATCTCAATCGTCAATTTTTTTATAACAATTACGTATATCCGATCTAATTATTCTAAATTGATTTATTTAACCCTCTCGAATTTAATCAATCCAAATCCAATTAAATCAACCCACCATATATCTATGTGAATTCAAATAAGCATTAATCAAGAGCATTCAATTGCCAAAGAACTCAATTAATTAACGTGACAACCATAAAAGTGTAAATCTAACTTTTATCCAAATTGCAAATTTTTACTATATACATGGTCTAATAAAATAACTAATCCATAGATGTAATTATAGTTCACAAATCAATGAATTAGTGATCAAGTCATTTAAGTTATTATAAAAAAGTGGAAAAATATTGAAAATCAAAACATAATTGTTATAATTAAGGTTCAAAATTAGGTTACAATCGTTTATCCTAACCAATTAATTAATTGTACATCACGGGAGAAGGAAAAAAAATACAAGAAAGAATTAAATTACACTATCGGATCTTGATGAAAAATAGAAAAAAAGATAAAAATCTTGCACCAAGCATCCGTCTTCTTCTTTTCTAAATCCTAATTTTTTTGATTGATTTCTTTTTTCTTTTTTTTTCCCCTTTCTTCAGCTCTCTCTTTTCTTATAATTAATATGAATTTGTATTCCAAGAGGCTTTCCTTGTTTCTCCCTTAATAATGGTATTTATAAAGCTTAATTTAGGTTTTAATTCATGCCTAAAAGTGTTAGAATTCGAAATTTAAGTCATAATAGGACTTTTGGATTGATGAATTTTAGTTTTGGGGACCTCCGTGCAATCACAAAATAGTTTTGGGTGAGATCATACAGTTTTTGGAGTTTGGACAACTTAATTAATTTCGGTCGCACCCTCCATTGCCCAGTAAAACTCTCATTGGTCACTGAACTTTCGTTTTATGTATTTTGGTCCCTATATTCAATAGATTGTTCAGTCCAAGTCATTTTTATTCTCAATTCAGCCTTCAACTTGTAAACATCTCATTTTAGTACCCCAACTTCCATAATTCGTCCATTTCTCATCCCGCACTTCAATTTTTATGCCCAAACTATCTACAGCTCTATGATTGGTATCATTTAAAATTAATCTGTCTCAAGTTCTGAAAATTTATAAATTAATCTTCAAAATTTTAAAATGTTGCATTTCACTTGTAGAAGTTGTGATTCTCTTCGAATTATTCCATTACTATTTTCAATTGACTGCAACGGGTAATTTTCAATTGCTCAGAATAAATTTTAATTCAGCTCAAAATAATCTTTTTTATTCTAATAATATTCAAGTTGAAATTTTTTCTTATAATTAACATAATTTACTCAAAATTAAGTAAGAATGAAATTGCGGATAAGTGCATAAACAACATTTTCAACGGGTAGATTAAGTCCTTGTTTGAACCCCATTTTTATGTTCAAATGATTTTGGTAATAGCGAATTTTTGGAGAATGTATGATTAAAAAATAATGAAAAGTTTTTGGGATTTATTCATAAATTATTTTATTAGTAAAATATGTGGTTAAAAGTGTATATAAAAAAATTTGAATGGTTGGACGATGGAAATCAAACGGTGGCTAAGTTTTGTTCGGGAAGAATCAGGTTGGGCGTGGCCGCGTGGGCGACGTGGGATGGAGAAATGACGTGTTTGTTCAAGAGGGTTCCATGATTATGCTGTACAATTCCTAATTGACACCTGTCCTTTTCCTGCATGTCTACGTGTCTCCCGAATCATCCACTCCACTCTATATAATGGTCTCTCTTTATATTTGTACACTCACTTACACGCGCTCTGGGAAGGAATTACTCTATACCTTGCCTTACTCTCACTCAAAATGGCTTTTAGATCCTCAGTATGGATTTTCAGGCCTGTGTATATATGTTTGTACCGTTCTTAATTTTTCCTCTTTTTCTGACTGATTTATTTTATTTTACAGGCTTACTGGAAATCTTTGTCGAATCGTCTACGAGGAAGTTCGAATTTTACGACGTCGACTTCTCCAAAAATGAAAGCATATTCTCCCGCAATTGATATGCTCAACTCTCCAACCATCAAATCGAAGTAAATTAATCAGTAAATTCATAGTGGAAAGCTATTTTTTTCCCTTAATTTTTCGATTTACTGAATGATTTTTACTTTATTTTTGGTGGGTTGGGTTCAGGGCGGCGAAGGGGGGTTTTGTGCCGGTTTTTGTGGCGGTGGGGATGATAGCGACGTCGGTGGGTTTTGGAATATACACAGCACTGCACCAACTAGCGAGGGCTCCTAATGTATTTGTGAAGAAGTCGAAAAGGGAAACTATACCGGAGGTGGTGGAGCCGGAGCACGTGGTGGAGGAAACCGATAGGTTTATCAAAAAATCGTTCTTCCGAAAGGTTGCCCATGTGCAGGACTCCGATCGCCATGAAATCATGCCAGATCCCATTCGAGGGGATATATTTACCAGGTATCAATCTACTGTATGGTGCTCTCGATATTTTTATTTTTTGATTTAATGATTTTATTTTTTATTTTTTTTAATAATCTCAAATTATGGACATTTTTGTTATTTTTTAGTTTCTTAGTATATTAATTGGATCATTTTTTTGTTATTTTCTAGTTTTTTAATATATTTTTGGTTAGCCCCTGACTATGGTCATTATTCTTTAAAAACAATTTTTTGAATAGGAATTTTTTGGAAAAATGTAGAATAATGTTATTTGCAATCTTCCTGCAATATGTGATCTATGTAGTATACATGTAATGGTTAGTTGCATAAGGTAAAACAAATTATTAATCGTCACATATCACATACAGCGATTACGACGGTGAACGATTGTAATTTTACTCAAAAGTATAATTAAAAAGTAAGAAAAAATTTTGAGTGTACATGAAAAAATATTTTGTGGTGTGAATATGTTGTTGAAAATTATTACCCAAAACAAAAAAATAGTTTTTAGATAAAAGAAATATAAAAATAGTTTTTAGATAAAAGAAATATTTTATAGTGCGAATATGTTGTTGAAAATTATTATGAATATGTTGTTGAAAATTATTACCCAAAACAAAAAAATAGTTTTTAGATAAAAGAAATATTTTATAGTGCGAATATGTTGTTGAAAATTATTACCTACAAAAAGTTTGTTCAGATAATTAATACATATATACATATATATGCATACATATATACATATACATACATATATATACACATATATATTTATGTGTGTGTTTAATTAGGGACGGATCCAGCATTGGATTAAAGATATATATATACATATACATACATATATATGTATATATGCATACATCTACATATATACATATATGTATATACATATACATACATATATATACACATATATTTATGTGTGTGTTTAATTAGGGACGGATCCAGTATTGGATTAAAGATTGGGCTACAAAATTTCAAAGTGAATACACAATAAATTGATTTTATACCCAAAAAAATAAAGGAGACCTTAAAAAAAACTTTTGGGCCTTGCTCGTCTTGTTTAATGTGTCATTTTATTATTTGACTACTAATTAATTTAAAAATTATAAATTATACGGTATGTGAATATGTTGTTGAATATGATTACCTAAAAGAGAGTGTGAAGATGATAGCTTGGTTTAATGTATCTTTTTTATTATTTGACTACTAATTAATTTAAAAAATATAAATTATGCAGTATGAAAATGAAAGAAAGTCTATTTTTATTTAATTATTTTTCTTTTTAATATTGTTGGATGGGTTGCAGGCGTCCTAGAGTGGAGACATTGAAAGATGTGGGAGTTGATCCTAAGGTGCAGTGACTTCAAGACGGTCGAACATTTCTCAATGTACATAGTTCAAAACCTAATAAATGAATTTCTGATGCGGAGCTTTGTGCCATCCCAACTAAATACCCTGAAATTATGACCCTATATTAGTGTGTGTATTATTTTTAGTGTATAGATGTGTGTAATATAGTTTTTCAAGTGTGTTACTTTTTTCACGTTATTTACCTTTGCTAGTTTTTTACGACGTTATGTTTTTTAGGGAAGGTGCGATACGATAACTATGCAACAGCCTATGCGTGATGTCATTGAACTTGTGGCTTAAAATAAGCTCTTGTTTGACCCATATTTTCAAAGAAAGAAAAAAAAATTTGATTGTTATTTTCAAACGTGGGTTCTACTTAAGAGAAATGAAGTGAAATATGGTGGTTGAAATTGATCTTCAGGGGTTAGAATTCTCATTTTTTGTGACTAAAAATATTGGCTCAAAACAAGGGTTGAGTAATTTTACATATTGTATGAAGCCAGATACAAAAATAATCTCAATTGGAATAGTTCAAGAGGGAGTTCGATACCCTTTTTTTTGCAAAAATGTATGGGAAATGTGTGGTTGAAAAATAAGGAAATTTTTTTTATTTACCTGTAATATTATTTTAATAAAGAATGTGGTTGAGAAGAAGAGATAAAAAAAATGCACTTAGAAAATAAAAAACTGGATGCCAAATGGGGTGCAAGTTTAATAATTAAATTATAAAAATTGAAGCAGAGCTTGGCTAATTAGAAAATGAAGCAGTGTGATTCATTACTCCCTCAAATTCGTTCCAAGTATCTTTGAATTCTTGGGCCCGATGCAGGGGTGGGCTTAAATTATTCTTCAGTGGGAAACGAAGAATTAGCTAAAACAAATTGAAAAAATTAAAAAAAAAAATTAAAAATTTAAATTTAACAATGTCGTCAATCCCACTCGTCGCTTAGTGGGTCCGTCCCTGACCTATGAAGGCGGGGTTTTTATTGTTCTTTGAGTACAAGGAATAATGCTGACTCTTAGAATAGATGACATATTTAAATATAAAATTATGTGTAACATTCTTGAAAATCATCTTCCTAAACTGTTAGAATAAATAACATATTTAAGTATAAAATAATAAAATAAATAGATATCGGCAAATGGATTTTTGATGAAAAGTGGATTATCTCCTATTTCATTGCTGAATATTTGAAATTGAATTTTAACACTTCCTTAAAGTTGGAACATAAATGTCAATGGTTCTCAACTCCCTTGAAACAATCACGTCCTAATGCTCTGATAGCGCGGTTTGATTGTCACAAAGAGAATAGATGGACATGACGAATCAATTCTAAGATCCTTAAATAAATACCTCAACCACATCAACTCACAAGTCATGGCTGCCATGGCTCTATATTCGACTTCTGTTGAGAATCTTGAGACAGTGGTCCAAAGGCCAATTCAGGAGTTTGAGTCAATACAGGCGATCGTTGACCATCTACCACCAGTCGCAATAAAATATTAAAAGGCCTTTTGATACCTCTTTTTTGCAAAAAAAAAAAAAAAAAAAAAAAGCATTTTAGAAAAGTAATTTGATAGAAAACATGTGATTAAAAATAAAGAAAAGTTTTGAATTTACGTATAATATTATTTTATTGAAGACTCTATGGATGAATTGAAGAAAGAAATAATGTATTTTAAAAAAAAATGAAATTGAACAAGGTTTAAAGTTTAAATATAATAATTATTTTGTTCAAACTGAACATATATAATTCTATTATAAGAATAAACAAAATTCATCAAATGACATTGTTGTTAAGTTTTGTATAATTCAAAAGAAGAACGCGGATTCGAATATTTAAAATTGTTTACATTAAAACAGTTAAAACCTAACAAATATTATTTTGTTAATTTTAGTAATACAATTTAAGATGTATCATAATGATTAAGCTTACAACAACCCTTGTAAGAGATCACATGTTCGAATCCCCATTGTCCGTCTTCTTATTGAATTTTGGTAAAAATTTTAGATTAAAAATAAGGGAAAATTGCAGCTAAGGCCCCAAACATTTCAAACAGTGGCAGACTTTCCTCTAACTTTTCAATCGTTGCAACTGTCACCCCAAACCTTTCAAATTGTTACAACTGAGGCCCCCAGTAGATGGTTTAAATCCAGTTTGCCATTAGTTGACCAACAAAATTAATTTTGATCACATTCTAATCAATTTTAAAAGGATAAAATAGCACTTTAATATTTTTCCCATAAAATAATAGAAAATATAAATCAAAAACAAAAACAAAAAAAAAAAGGAAGAGAAGAAAATAAAATAAAATAAAGAACTATCTTCTTCTTCACCCCTGTCCCTGCCCGCCCCATCCCATCCCATCCCATCCCATCCCAAAAAACTAGAAATCACCAAAAAATCTCCCCTCTTTCTCTATCTTCTCCTCTTCCTAGTTCTAGTGGAATTGCTCATCTTAGCAGTGGAAGATTTAGGCTAGGCAATGGCTGCTTATCCACTGGAAGCTGAGATGATCACTTTGGTTGGATCTGGCCAATTCTCAGCTCAATACCATTGATTTTTCATCTGTCAATTCCAATCTCATTATGCCTTGAAATTCAAATGGATTGCCTGATATGATGCAAATGATGTCAATAATGTTTTTGGCCAATCTTCAATGGGAAATTATGCAAATCTCTCTTTATCAACGTTGCCACCAACACAAAGACTAAAGGAAGAGGTAGGTAGTAAAGGGAGCACATTAATGGCGGATTTCCCAACTTTCTTTGTATTCTGAAAATGAAAACTAGCAAACAAAATCTTTGACACCCATGTTTGCAAATGCACTTCTCCAAAGGCAACTCAAATCTTTGGCATCCACCTTCTAATCAAGAGCAATGCTGGCTTTCACGGAGAATATGGAGAAAGAGAGGAGGTATTTTGATGATTTCTAGTTTTTCGGGGCGGGGCGGGGGTGAAGAAGGAGATAGGTCTTTTTTTTTTTTTTTTTTTTTTTTTTTTTTTTTTTTATTGATTTACATTTTCCATTATTTTATGAGAAAATTATTAAAGTACTATTTTGTCCTTTTAAAATTGATTAGAAGGTGGTTAAAATTATTTTTTTGGTCAACTCACGCCAAATTGGATGGAAACTATCCGTTGGGGTCTCAGTTGCAACGATTTGAAAGATTTAGGGTGACGGATGCAACGATTGAAAGGTTAGGGAAAAGCTTGCCACTATTTGAAAGGTTTGGGGCTTCAACTGCAATTTTTTCAAAGAAAAATACACAACAAATCCGTTAAGAAGGGATTTGAACCTAAGACTTTAAGTATGTTTATGCAGGCTCTAACCAACTCAGCTGCAAGGGATGTTTCAAATTAAAATCAATTATCAGTAATATAATGTAAAAATTTAATATATTGTTAACAAAAAAAATTTCTCCTAGCGCATCTAGCTAGGGCGGCTGACCTAACTCGCCACCACCTAGATTGGCCACTGCAATGGTCTATTTCTTGGTCTTCCACAATATCCCGTGATTAATCTTCTAATTGTCGAGTCCTAATCAACATTGCAATAGGCCATTTATTTCATGTTGTTCTGCTTTGGGAAAAATAAGTCTTGGCCTGGACTTCCTTTCAAATATTTGAAAACACTTATTACTGCATTTCTATACAGTCTAGTCATGGTTAAATAAATCAGTTTCCTATCTACCCTCCTGTATCGTGTTGAATTCTCAAGAGGCTCACCTTCTATTGTAGTCAACTTGAGGTTTTGTTCCATTAAATAGCTCACTGGAATTGCTCTAAGTAGTGTCCAGCACGTATTTTCTTTGTGAAATGGCTTTTAACTTTTTAAGTGTGCTATTTTCAATCTTCAAAGGTCTTTGGTCTTAAATTGTTTATTAGGAAAATTTTTGGGATTAATAATATCTCCTTCATCCTCTCTTGCTATCACTGTGTCGTCAACGTGTATAAGAACAGTTAGGAAAAACTTGTGGTGCGCTTTGTAAAAAGTGAGTAATCTGCTAGATATTGTACAAAATTTGCCTTGCAAATGGCTTTGAAGAATTTAGCATACGAGTTTTCAAGTTCTGTTTGAGGTCATACAAGGACTTTCGAAATCTACAAAAAGTGTTGTGTGGGGGGAGGTAGCATATAAATCTCTTCTTGTAAGTCTCCATGTTAAAGTACATTTTGCGTGTTCATTTGGTGTGGGGACCATCCACAAATAGCAAGAAGCGAGCGGCTCTTCCCACAGCGAAGTCACCATTGACTCTATTTTCAACTACTGAGAGGATATCTGACAATGGTCAATTTTGCTCTAAAAGAGACTTGACTCTAAAAGCTCCCCATGTAGCACAATGAATTAAATCAAATGATCTTTTAGTTGAAATAGAGCTTAATCAAAAAGGCAATTTTGTTTGTTAGGCTAAATGACGCACATCACGAACTTTATTTAAATCATTAACAATATTTTAAAAAAGAAGAAATCAAATGCTTCATAGGTGAAATAAAAGGGTGGTCGAGTCTTTGGTGCCAGATATTAGTTGATCCATCAACTTAATTGACTGGACATTTATTTTTTCTTTGTCGGTGTTGAGAAGTGATACAAATCATTATGCATTCTCCGCCAAACCGATTATCCACTTCGTTGGCAAGTCCTATAAGATATAAAAGCCAAGGTAGAAGGTAATAGAATAATTCAGGCCTTTGGTTTACATGCTAACATATATTAAGGACCTGTTTAAGCCACATTATTCCAAAAAAATACATTTTTAAACAGTGATTTGACATCATTTCAATCACACATTCTTCAATAAAATAATATTACATGCAAATAAAAAAATTTTCCTTATTTTTTAACTACACATTTCCCATCAATACACTATTCAAGAATGCATTATTATCAAAATAATGTGGCTCAAACACCCCTAAATTTATATTGAAAGAAAGCACACGATAAACATTTTTTGTGATCAAATTTATGGCGATTAGGTAAAGTTTGTTAACCCTGCTTTTGCTATGGCCATGTGAACAACAGTTGTTGGGTCTACTCGCGTCCACACAAGCAAATTTCGGCACGTTTGGATAAAAAATTCAGTCAAAATAGTGAGGGTGACATTTATGGATGTGGGAGATGCTTTATGACGCAAGAGAAAAATGTTCAAGCTTGAGCTATGTGATCGAAAAATGAGTATGAACAAACACAAAATCAAACAATTCTACCGAAGTATATGT